ATCAGCAACGGGGCGGGGATTCCTAGGTCGGCAGTTGAGGCGTGAAGCCGATGGAGGGGAATAACTTACGGGCCGAGATATTTGACCAGACGAAAGCCGGGGAAAGTAGGTGTGGTGCCGAAGAAGTCCGGGAGAAAGTGCGTGGGTACCCATCCCTCCTCCTGAGTACCAGCTTCCTCCTCCTGCACCGAGCGGCCGTCGTCCCGGAGGCCGATCCATCCTGTCGACGCAACGCGATGTTTAAGGAGCTCGAGCCTTGTCTTCACAGGCGAGGCACTGCGTTTGATGTGCCCTGGGCGGCGGGCAGGAGGGAGCAGGTCCGTGTACTGCTGAATCTTAGCCGAGCTTCGGGCAGCTGCACGGCGAGCCCTGGACCGTTCTTTGTCGCGGGCTTTGCGGGAGGATGATTTAGTGGACGAAGAGGGAGCAGCGGCAGGAGGAGAGGGGGATTCTGACAGTTTCTGCACTGGTTCGCAGGTGTCAGCCTCACATAGGTCCTCCTCCGCCTGATCGTCGAGGGCGACCGTGACGCTGCTGGCGATGTCGAAAGTGGCACAGCCGCTGATGGGATCCTCCCAAGGTGAGAAAAAACGTCCAGAGCGCGTCTGTGGGTATTTTGAGCGAGCAGCTACGTAGGCAAGGACTAAGTGCTCACTGCATGAAAATTCAAAGCGTCGGAAAAATCCATAGAGGCGGCTGAGGGGTAGAGTTCATCAACATCAATATAAAGGTGCAAAGAGGTGGAGAAAGGCTGAGGATGCTGCGAGTTCCGGGCACGGATCTCAGGCGGCAAGGTCACCATCCCACTGGGGTCTCAATGCCATTAGGTTCCCGGGCTCGGGTACCACCGTGGCACTGAGTACAGTGGGAGAGGGAGAGGGATAGAAGAGATGAGCCTATGCTTACCTCCTGGGAATTCAATTGAGGTGCTTGCAAAAAAGGGAGTGGGGAGTAGAAGAAGGAGCGGGGAGGGAGAAGCGGAGGGCTTTTATTAATAAATGTTGCGCCACTGCCCATATCGGGGAGGTTGCGATGGTAACGTGACAGCCGGCCTCGGTCTTATTTGTCTACCACCCCGCACACACCTCCTATCAGCAGGAGACAACTTATTTTATGTCTCCTCCACATTTATGTCTACCCCACTGCGAACATGTATGTCTACTTCACTGCGAACATTTATGTCTACTCCACGGCGGGTAGACATAGATAGCAGTCACAATTGTCACTCTCTTAACAATGGCCAACAACAACAAGAAGAAGAAACTCGGCATAAGGGTGCACCCACTTCGTGTGCGCACCTCAATGACTATAAAAACAATCAATGGAGGTAGTCGCAGTGTCCTGCGGACCGTGAAACCGACAACCTCAACTGCTATCCGCGACACGACTCAAAAAGAGCTCGAGGAGAGGTATCACGGTGAGTTTGGCTTCCCCTCGTCATTCTCGCTCTGACTTTTGGCCCAGCCTTGTCCGCCACGGCTCGCAAGGCTTTCAATGATCTCCGTGACCTGGCAGATCCCACCAACGATCGTGATATATCCGAGTGGCAGGACGTCGAGGACGATGCCGATGACCTTCAGGACGCGATCAACGGCGCAGGGGGTCTGATGGGTAGTGGTGCGGGTGGGGAATTCCGCGAGACACTAGAAGAAGCTCTCCGAAAGGAGCATGAATTACTCAATAAGAGGTGTGTGTCGCCACCGTGCTTTTTTCAGCCCCACCAACATTTTTCAGACGTACTCAGGACAAACGGAAACGCCGCGACTTGATAACCAAGCAGGTCCGTGCGTTCGATGGGCAGATGGAGGCCATCACAGACGCCTACATCGATTGGGCTTCGAAGATGGGTGATTGCCTGGACCAGCCGACACCGCCGCCGCCTGAGCATCTTGTGCAAAAAGGGTATGCCATTCGAGTCGTAGACGTCTTCCGTACGTGGTAATGAACGGGTACTGGCTGTTATTTGACCTCCCTTTGCTAGGTACGTACACGCTCAAGGCCCCAATGCGCTACACGGATAAGTTCACAAGCTCCTGCCTGGTCGGCCAAGGTCTGATCCCGTGCGCCCCTTGGACTCCCAACGTCGCATTCTCGACGAGACTCCTCGAGCTGTTCCGTGTCGCCCATCTGCGTACACCTGGTCTGTCCATCCAGGCGTGGGTGAAGACTCTGTCCGACGTACATGGAGTTCCCTTCAAACCATACCGTGCACAGCAGTTATCCATCGCCTACGACCTATATCTCGCCATCCTTGGCAAGGTGAAGGCTCGTGTGGACCGAGAGTTGGGCCGCGATGCGCCCGACTGGCGAATGAAAAATTGTTGCCCCTCCTGCACCTACAAGCTCGAGGGGGAACAGGAGCTGATATTCTCCATGCTGGTTGCGATGGACGGGAACGACTCCCTTAAACGGGTCCTTCGAAAGGAGGCCCATGACTTTGACGACGACGGAAACCCTCTCCCAAGTGCCTCCAAGGAACGCCACGATCCTCGAGCCCGCGCCGCTGGAAAGGACTACTTCCTGAGTCGCGAGAAGGTGGATGCTTGGTCCAAGGAGGTACTCGCAGGCCTAGTCGACATCCCGGTAAGCCGACTCCTTGGTTTAGGGAATGAATCTCCCGCTGATTCCCTGTACAGACCGCAGATGCTCCCGAAGAGAAGACGGCGTGTGAGGAACGGTGGAAAAACCTTTCTGAGGACCTCACCAAGAGAATGTGGGCCATCTACGACGAGACGGGGGTTTTCGTTTGCCTGTGCAGACATGGCTTCGTCGTCCTGATTGCGGACATGGTCCGCAGCGGAGAGCTGTGAGTATTTTCTCTTCCGTGGCAAATTGGATTCTGACAGCTTGTAGGGCCAAGTATGGGCTCGCCATCAGCAACGCCCTTGCCGAAGCCTTTGGGCGGGACGTTGGTGGGGGCTATGACGTTGGCTGTGGTTTCAATACCACAGTGCGAAACAGCCCCCTTGGCCCCACCGCCCTCCTCCAGAATTTGCAATTCTTTGTCGGGGCCTTTCATGGCCATGCCCACAACCGCCTCTGCCAGCTGCAGTTTCTCGTAACTTATGTGTTGGGGATGGGCGTGGAGGACCTGGAGGGATGTGAACGTTTTTTCTCTAAGTCCAACGCCATGGCAGGCTCGGTGCGCTACGCAAGTGTGTTCCATCGCTTGCAGACTATCACGACGTATCTGGCCCACCACGACACCCATGAGACATACGCAAATCTCAGTGAGTCTTTCACCATCTCAATGCTTTCCGGTTCCTGATGTGCCTAAAGGCAAGTTTCTGGTCGACAACTACTGGCAGGCCCTTGACCTGATCCAGACCGAGGATTCCCTCAAGGTCGCAATGGTCACTTCTGGGATTGAGAGCGTCGATGAATTCCACCACCGCCTGGCGCAGGAACTCCACTTCCTCAGGGGTCTTACCCGGGAGCCGGAGTCTGAGACCCGGGACATGGAGTACTATCAGCGGCTGGTGAACCTGAAGGAGAGGCAGTGCGTACTCCTTTGTTTTTTGACAGTATTCCACGGCTGACTATGTCTCCCTCTCCTGCGCTACCTCCACCACCGTGTCTACCCTACACCTGCAATCGGTGTCTACTTCACCTCCGACATCGTGTCTACCCCACCGCTCCCATCTCTCCAAATGTCTACTCCACCACTTGCTCCCCGTCCGCTGCCAGGGCGACGCTCGACGTCCTGTTGGCGGAAGCTTCGACTGCGACCGCCATCAAGAAGCGCCACGCCCTTGAAAACTACGACAAGGCGCTTGACTTGGTCCAAGAGTCGGAAGTGGTGATGGGAGTGGAAGTTCGGTGGCTTTCCACAGGACAGGAATGGTCAGAGGCAGCCCACTTGGTCAGCACGAAGCGGTACCGAACCGCCCTCAATCGGCTGGAGCTACTTGTGGTGCAGCGGATGTTTGAGCTCACCAAGATGAACATGTCCCAGACGGGTTCGTACACTTTCGCTCCTGTTTGAGAATATCTCACAATAATTGGGCAGGCTATAAATTGAGGAACCATATTGCCAAGGCCCTTCAGGCTCGGTCACAGGCAATTCGAAACGCACTCAAGACCTATAACGCCGCTGCCGCCGCCCTCATTCCTCCGGGCAGGAAGCTTGAGTGGACGGAGGTGGTTGACTATGCCTTCCTTGCCGACTTTGACATTCTACGAAACCCTGGGGGCCTGGACGAGATACGGCCATGGGCGGTTCCAGCAGCAAGGCTTGTCCTCGACAGGTACTTCAAAATTGAACGCGCCAGGGAGGAGATCACCCGATGCAATGTGGAGATTAGAAGGTTGGTGACCTATATCCGCGATGAGCAGGAGTTCCTGGGCCGGAAGGAGAGAGAGTGCTCGAACCCCGGTCTTGCCTGGTGCATTCGTCGTCATCGTCTCCAGCGGGAGCGTTATGATGAAATGCACCTGGAGCGATTTGCCAAACTAGCCACCAAGGCAGGGCCCCGTTTCACTGGCACACTAGAGCCTGGCGTTCGGCTCAATCCAGAAGGGGAGGTGCATCCAATGGACGGGGTGGAGGAGGGCCAGATTGAGGCGGAGGTGGCGGCAAGAGAAGTGGCGAGGCAGATGGAGTTGATGGGGATTCGAGACGATGATGAGGATATTGATGATGACCTTGGTGAACGAATGGAGGGGGAGCAGTTGGCAGAAGAGCTCCACACTATCTACGGGGCTGCGGAGGATCTTTGATTCCCTTATCCTGTATTTTGTTTTGTGTATGGAGCTTTTTTGGGGAGACATCTGCGGTGCGGTAGACATTTTTGGTGAGGGGTCCTCGGCGGAGTAGACACTTCTTTGCTGAGGTGTCTGTTGTGGGGTAGACATTTGCTGTCATAGTGGAAGTATGCCGAGTCCTTGTATAGTTGTGTCCTTTCCCGTGCGATCTGGGGGGTGAGCCAGGCTATTGTCAAAGTTTTGATTTTGTGCTGTTGGGGTGTAGATCTAAACATGAGTGGGGGATAAATAAGAATGGTCCAGTAGCACAGTTGGAGTGCACCAAGTTCGAATATCGGTGATCACATTGATTCACTCGGAGGTTCCCTGTTCAATTCAGGGCTAGGCCATCCCGGGATAATTGATCTTTTAGCTGCCTGTCTACTTTTTGACAGCGCATACCCGCCTCTAAGGCTACGGGACATGTCTACCACTTACTGACACTGTGCACGCCATGGAGGGTAGACACCACCATCGTGTCTATTTTTTGATTACTTGTACCCCAAACGGTCGAAGTGGGACGGTGGCACGTGACGGCACATACCCGCCTCTCAAGGCTAAGCGACATGTCTACCACTTACTGATGCCGTGCACGCCGTGGAGGGTAGACATCACCATTGTGTCTACTTTTTGGTCACTTGTACCCCATACGGTCGAGGTGGGATGGTGGCACGTGACGGCTCATACCTGCTTACGCGACATGTCTACTACTTACTGACGCCGTGCACGCCGTGGAGGGTAGACACCACCATGGTGTCTACTTTTTGGTCACTTGTACCCCATACGGTCGAGGTGGGATGGTGGCACGTGACGACTCATACCTGCTTACGCTACATGTCTACTACTTACTGACGCCGTGCACGCCGTGGAGGGTAGACACCACCATGGTGTCTACTTTTTGGTCACTTGTACCTCATACGGTCGAGGTGGGATGGTGGCACGTGACGGTGCATGCCCGCCTCTCAGGGTTACGCGACATGTCTACTATTTACTGACGCCGTGCATGCCGTGGGGGGTAGACATCACCATTGTGTCTACTTTTTGGTCACTTGTACCCCATACGATCGAGGTGGGATGGTGGCACGTGCCATCCCCGCCTCCCCTCCCGCTCTCCCTGCCGACGTCTACCCAAAAAAGGCGCAGGTGGCGGCGGTTCGGGTACATGTCTACCCCCCGCCATTTTGGTGGTGGCGGGGGTGCAGGTAAATTTTTTCGTCTACCCATAGTCTCCCTTTATGGGAGGGGAACCCAAGGTGTAGCCGCAGTGGGAATTACAACCAGGTCGCCTCTTATTAGAGGCACCATAGAGGAGACATGGCCCCTCTAATATGAGGGGTTATTTGGTATTAGCAGCTGGACCAGCGGCGCTGCAGTGCGACAACTGGTTTCGCACGCTGCGCTCCAAGTCCCCGCTGAATAGGGAAACCTTAACTATAAAACGGACCTGTCGGAGACGGGGGAGGCTCTTCAACACCTTGACAACTTCGAGCCTACGGCTACTCTGGGCGTGCGCCTCCTGGTCCCCAATAAATAGGCAGGTCAGGACCTCGAGGTGGGGCATGCACGTCGGAAGTCTCGTAATGGTCGCCATGACTCATGAGGGAGTCCGGCAACTTGATCTCCGTCATCGTTACCGTGAAGGTGAGAGAACTGAGGGTGGGTAGAGCGGGAAGTACGAGCGGGGGCGGGGGTTCTCGATCGAGCCAAACTATAGCGACGTCAGGGTGGATCAGTGTAAAGCCTAGTGAACGACGTACTGCCAAAATCGAGCCCTAGATGTCGAAGTGGCTGGGAGTGCCTGAGCGCCATCTTCTCGAAACCATCCAGCGACCCTTTCGTCGGCACGTCGAGCTTGAGATATCGTAGTTTCTGGAGGTATCTTTCGGTGCATTCACTGAGGATCAGACTATGAAGCGCCCTGGCGGTCGTCGGCGAGTATCTGAGAACGAGACGTTGGAGAGTCGCCGTGGACACAGGCTCCCATTCGATGTCACCCCTATCCGAAGGCAATTGATCTTCTTTGACGAAGGAGCTTGGGTATAGAACTAATTCATGATATGTTGAGAGTGCAAAGAGGATGAGGGAAGAGGGTATGCCAGAACATCTAAATGCAAGACGTTGAAGGGATGGACGAGAGAGAAGAATCCATAGGAGCTTGGCTTAATCATGGGGCGTTGAGATATTAATCCGGGTTGAAAGCAGAGATTATTGAATCCGGATTAATTGTGGTGAGCGCTTGAAGGCCGGGCAGCGTCGGAGCGAACTCGGTTTAAACTGGTTCAAACGAGTGAGTGACGGAATTGTGATTGATCGATCATGAACCGGATTAAACATTTGATGGATCAAACACTTGATGAATCGAGACAAAAACAAGCATCCCGTGGGGCTCGATCCGCAGGCCTCGTCAGAGTAGACGACAGAAGACAAATCCGTAACTTTGCCAACTGAGCTAAACTGACACAACAAATGTCTCCACAAGATAATCACCTTAGATGTCGTTGAATCAATTATATTCAGCCACAGCGCGAAGTCACTGAAACAAAAAAGGCTTTCTATCGAGCTTGTATCATAGTACATGAGGCAAGCTATGTAGATAAGCGACCAGATAAATATTGTTCCTCCATCCGTTCCCCCTTGATAAACTCGATCACATTTGCCGTTAGCGAGAGTAATGCCTGGTACCCGCCCAGCCTGACCAAGTTTCGTGCATCTTCCGCCCACCGCTCATACATCCACGCCTTCTGACGAGCGTAAGCCACATGTCCTGGCTGGTTGGCATGTGAGTCCCCCAGTTGACTCCATACCGACTGCATCTTGATGTAACTCCGAATTGTCCAGAGCAACTCAACAAGTTTCTGCTCCTTCTGTTCTTGCCATTGCCGCATCTCCGCCTCTGTGCGAAACCATTGAACCCCATCACCTAATAACAGATTTAGAGAGTCAAGGCTGTCGGGGAGAAGTTCAGCAGTACCTTTGTTTGACCATTCCTCCATCTCACTCTGAGAAAGCCTCCCCATCTTCCCAAGCTGCCACAACCATCCCTCAGGCCGCCGAGAATCGAGATCTTGTTGCTCCTCTGGAGTGATCATATGTTTTCATGTGGCAATCCCGACGCTTGATGGTATCCTGTATATTATCACCGGTCCTACTATTGTCCTTTCGTTGCCTTTCATCCGACCTCCTCAGCTCCGAGATCGACTAGATCAAGTTCCCACTGCTCACCTGGGGGCGCTTCTGAGATGTTCCATACCCCCACTCCACATGATTTCAACCTTGTGCAATCCCAAGCCGTCCATATACCAGTCCCACACACTGCTCTGATTCTCCCAAATACTACCAACAACGGGTACACTTCGCGGTTTTACCTGTGGTGATGCCTATACTTATTGCATGAACTTCAGTCCAATTGAAACTAGTGGAAGACCGGCACCTCAAGATATTGTGCAGAATGTAAAACACTCCAAGCAAGTGTTCTACTCAGTCTTGGCAGTTACGGTACTTATGTTCTTTACTAGCCACGACGAGCACTCGGAGATCACAAGACCCCGAAAAAAAGAGCCAAGCAAGCATCATTGTGGGATCTCTACATGCAATTTTCTCAGTGTCCTCCAGTCAGGGCGACAAGAATCACCCCTCGTAGCCCAAAATCCTGTGCTGTAGGTCCATTTTCCCCTGGCCATCTGTGGAAATTAATATCTGATCATCGGAAGCGATGGCCATTGACAGAGCCGCAAGGGCAGCAAATCTGCCATCACCTCCGCAAGCAAGACGCCGTGGAGATCGACACACCAACCGGCAGCCAAAGTGTCCACGGCAAATAGCGAGAAGAAGGGTGGGAGGCCCGCTCGGCGCCGAAGAACTCTGTGTGTACATATAATTTTCTGCATGGTCAATCCTTGACTTTCCAATGGAGGCTTTGTGTATGGCGGGCAGGGTGAAAGTGATGTTGTGTTGCACTGACGTTGCACTGACGTTGCACTGACGTTGCACTGACGTTGTGACGTTTTCAGTTGACGCGGATGGGCAGGTTGATTGACGCAGCAATGTCACACTGCCGCAGTGTCACACTCTAGGCATATTGTGGATTCCACTTCACATCGTCAAACAACACTGCGATTCGGGATTTCGTGGATACTTGTCTCCAATATCATACTGAAATATGTCTGCAAAATGATAACACCCAAATGATCATGTGTGAACCCGAAATCTATCTCCTGCGAATACAATTCAAGGGACATGTTCACTGTCATACCGACTTGTACACGATACAGAGGAGTGCCAACAACATTCTGAACATCAGGATCAGTACTCAAGAAGAGTTGTGGCAAAATTCACGTTGGGAGGAACAGGAAATCTTGTCAGGTCTTGAAACAAATCTGTTGTGAATTGGCGGATCACCTTGTGATCCAATGATGCACCTAGTCAGCGCGCTGCGCCGAAGTCTGCAACTACTGTGCCGTAGTTGCGGCGCAGTTTCTCTTTTGTTCTCTTACTAATATTCTTGATTCCATAGTATTCCGTAGTCGTACGCAGTAGGTACTTTTAGTATATAAATCTTGTAAACTTCCTGTAATAAACATCGTATTCTTTCTTGTCCTCACTCGACTCGTTACACATTGAGATATTCTATGGAAATTGATGCCCAAGTGTATTTCGCGGCGCTGTTGGATTTGATGTCCATGTGGCTTGAAAAGTATTTCTGAACTTGAAGACTATTGTGTGAATAACTCGGTGAAGGTTTCGAACGACAGGTTCCTGTGCTTACCAGGCGCTACAGAGAATATAATAATCGCGCTCAATAATCCCGAACACCATCTGTGGATGCGTCAGTCAACGTGAGTCCGACTGACACAGGATGGCTGTGCACTAGCGCAGAGCGGCGCACACATTGACGCTGGTCAGTGCACGGATTGGTGAAGCACTACTGCTGCAAGCAATGGTTTTTTTTGTATGATCAGTACTCACTGGGGTGATATTGAAGCAAAAGCAACCCATTTGTGGAGTTGTGGAGGTTGAACATTGGAAAGAATTTCAATGATGTTGAGAGTGGCAAATATGATCCTCCTGTTGGAGTTCTTCTCTTGTATGTATTACAAGACAGTACCAGAAACTTGTAAGCTAGGCCCTTTGAGGGTCTGGATTAAATATGAGTCCGTGGGCGCTAGATACTAATTCTTACCGAAACATTATTTCTTGAATAACTTCTACAAGGTGGAAAATTGCGGGTTGTTGTGAATGTTGGGTATTGTTAGGGATGTATTAAAGTTGTTTGACGTATTAATATTGAAGCCCATCTGTGGAAGCGTCAGTTGACGTCAATCCAAACTGACGCAGGGTGGCTGTGCATTGA